TCTCTACTAAAAAATACAAAAAACTAGCCGGACAAAGTGGCGGGCGCCTGTAGTCCCAGCTACTCAGGAGGCTGAGGTAGGAGAATGATGTAAACCCGGGAGGAGGAGCTTGCAGTGAGCTGAGATCCGGCCACTGCACTCCAGCCTGGACAGCAGAGCAAGATTCCGTCTCAAAAACAAAAATAAATAAAATAAAATAAAAAGAAGAGCTAAAAACCATCAAGGGGGAAGAGCTGCAGATATGAAGAGACTGCAGGGAGAGGAAGATCAGGTGGGGCTTTGTAGGCCATTTTTAGAATTTGAGTTGCGTTTTCCTCCGAGTGAAATGAGAAACTGCTGCAGGGTTTTGAGCAGGGGAATGACAAGCTCTTATTTATGTTTTAATAGAACCTCCCCTCCCCTGCTACTGTACTGAAAATAGATGGAGGGTGGGGGGAAGGGTGCCCTGCAGTATTTCTGTCTCAGACCAGTTGGTGGCAGTGAGGTGGTGAGAAGTGGTCAGATTCTGAATGTATTTTGCAGGTAGAGCTGACAGGATTTGCTGATTGATTGGATATAGGGTAGGGAGTGAGGGCGAGAAAGAAAGGAGTCAAAGGTGACAGGTGACTCTGAGGTTTTTGCCATGAGGAACTGCAACAATGCATTATCCACTGAGCAGGAAAGACTGTGGTGGAAGGGGTTCGGGAGAGAGCAGACGTTCACTTGGGACATGTTGAGTCTGAGATGCATATTAGCCATCCAAGTGTGATAGAGAGGGGGCAGTCAGGTACACAACTCTGGATTTGGGAGAAAGGTCTGGATTGGAGAGACACTTGGGAGTTGACTACATATACATGGTATCTCAAGCCATGAGACTAGTTGAGATCACCAAAGGAGTGTAGTTGAAATGACAGAGAAGAGAACAGGGTATCTAACGTTAAGGGGAGGAACAAGGAAAGGAGACTGGGAAGGAGCAGCTAGTGAGATAGGAGTCAACCAAGAGAGGGTGTGGTCCTGGAGGTCAGGTGAAGACAGTGTGTCAAAGGGGGATGTGTGTCCAGGCTGCTGATGGGCCAATAGAGGAGGACTGAGCATTGAGCATTACACTGAGCAACAACACAGAGGTTCTTGGTGACCTTGACAAGAACAGATGCAGTGGAGAGATGGAGGCCAGCGCCTGAGTGGGGTGGATTCAAGGGAGAATGGGGGAGGGGAACTGGAGGCAGCAAGTACAGATAACTCTTGCAATGAGTTTTGCTGCAAGAGAGAGCAAAAACTGGGACTGAGGGGAAACCAGGGGATTAAGATAATTTTTTTTTTTTTTTTTTTT